TTCAGTCTGAACCAAATTACCTGGAGGTCTTATGCTGCCAACACAAAAATTCAAAAAAACTACTACAGAGGACAATCTTCTAACTCAACAAGTATTACATTTAAGACATGGCAATCTAAACTAGATCCCATTCTAGCAGAAAAAGAAAAAAATATCAGATAAGTAAAAATTAATATCTGCTTATACACAGCTGTGTGCAACTCAGACACATTTGTTGTTTATAAACAGAATCAAATACAAACCAGCAGCAGGGATGGCTATTACTTCAAAAGGATGAATTTTACATAGCTGAAAGCAAATATGAGCCAGAGTATTTTGGGATGGGGGAAAGTAATAATAATAATAAAAAACATCAACAAATCCAAAGTGAATGATTGTACTATTTAAGGTTATTTTACTAGATGCCCCCCAAAAATGTAGTCCCATAATCTAAAAAGAATGCCAGAGTAGTTAAAAAAGCAACCTCATCTACAAATTGAAATTGAAAACAGCTACAAGATTTGAACAAAGACTGAAAGGCACATTCACAGTATTTACTGAATATAAAAATATTAGGAATTTGAAAACGATAAAATAATAAAAGACAAGGGGGTGCATGGCCAACAAAATAAAGGATAGTATGAGTAACTTATTTAAAGACCATTAGGAACAAAAAGCATTCTAAGAATGTATTGTTAATTAATAGATAGAAAGAGTAGGATTGGCAGTCTTAATACAGAAATGTTAAAAATATTTAGTGTATTCAGATCTGAACTTATGAAATAGGCTACTGATGATATTGTTGGAGAGAAGAGTTTCATCAGCTGAGAAGTAGGTCACACAGCACCTACTGAACACACACATTCTTAAATCAGTAATTCCAGACAACTTGAAGCAAAGAGTTTTAAAAGACCTGGCTGAAGAACATCTTGGATACTTAGTATTATTTTTCAGTAACTCGTAGAACTCCAGGGAAGACCCAAAACACTGAGCAGTCTCCATCCCCAGTGTATGCACACATACTGAAAAAATACTATTGTTCCAGTGTTTGAAAAGGATGAGTAGTTCATTGTAAAGCTGTCAGCTTGACATTGATCTGCATTAAAATAATGGAATAGGTAATGTGGAACTTGATTCAGAGTAAAATCAAAGAAAAAGAACATCAATCAACTGGGTGTTATGAAAAAATAGATCCTGGAAAACTAAATAAATATCTTTTTAATTGATTATGAGGCTGGTTCATAAAGCTTATGCTATTCATACAATGGAGCATTCAGTAAGGCAGCAGTCTTGGTACTTATTGTGATCAAGAAAACAGACCACAGAACGAACATTATATGTATTAACACTGGCTAGAGAGGTCTTCAGAATAAATTGTAAATGGGGCAACATGCAGTGGCTTTCTTTCTATGAACTTGCCTTGTTCCTCTACTACTTAACATTTTTATGAACAACCCAAAAGAAAATACAGAATAATCACTGACAAAGTTTGTAGGTTACTCCAGTTTTGAGAGAATGGCAAAAAAAAAAGAAAAATACAGCAGCTGCTGATATAAGGAGACATGAATCTTTTTGCAAGATGGATAACAGCCAATCCTTTATATTTTAAAATAACCAGAATGAAGCTTATACATTTAAAACAAAGAATGAAGGCTGTACTTCCAGGATGTGGGACACCTGTGTGACTGAGAGTCTTAAACAGCTTATGATTACATTAGATAACTAACTGAACATAAACACTAGCAGAATATTTTGGCTACAGACTAACACTATCTTTAGTCATAAAAAAGACAGATAAAAAAAGATAAAATATTAAAAAAGATAGGTAGATTCATATAAGAATTAGGTGGGTTATAGTTCCTCTACCCTGGACCCTGTTATGTCTCCTGTTAGAAGACTTTGTACCCTGGTGGTGTCCCCACAAGGATACTGATAAATAGCAGAGATTTTAGGGGAGCAAGAAGAGACTTATCAAGAGATTAGAAAACATCTAAAGAGCCTGAAGAATTTTCATCTGCTTACCATTTACAAAAGAACATGCTAAGAGGTTAAGTTAAGGAACAAGTTAAGTCATGATCTGCATGAATATACACAGAACAACACACTGGCAATTAGAACTTCAACCCATCAAAGTAAAATGCAGCAATGTCTCCTATGCTCAAGATTAAAACTGAACATACTTCATCTAGAAATTAAGTTCACATTTTAAAAGCTACATTCAAACCTTAAAATTGGCTGATTTTCTGAAATGTATCTTTAGTTCAAACAATAATTAATTCATAGAAGTCTTGTGATCTATAGAGAACAATATTCCGCGATAACCACTATGAATCAGTGAATAATGCCCTCATAAAAGGAAAATGAAATTTCTTCTTTTATCCATAAAATACTTACTTCGGCATGTTTTCCCATCTTGCCTCAGTACAAATCCATCATGGCACTGGCAAGTGTATGAATCGTCATTATTAACACAAAGATGTTCACAGCCATGACTGACTGATTTGCAGACGTCCTTATCTAGGAATAATTTAGATTTTCTTTACTACAGTTTGATGAAGGAGAACATTTCCAAAACTTTAAAGACTAAAAGTAATAAACTCCTAGTAAACAAAGAATTTATCCTCCTTTTTCTCAGGCAAAATCCCCTATAAGACCTACCTCTTACACAATATGTTTCTTCAGCAGACCTCTGAGTGCAAAAAATATAGTAACATAAAATAACTTACTTTTACATGTTTTCTTATCTTCCCTCAATAGAAAACCCTCATAGCACTGGCAAATGTATGAACTATCAGTATTCACGCAAACGTGCTCACAGCCATGGTCAACAGAATTGCAAACATCTTTATCTGGAAAAAAAACAAGGTTGCCAGTTTTTAAAACATGTCTACGAATGCACAGATTATAAAAGAAATCTTCTATTAAAGATAAGAATACTTACTTCTACATGTTTTTCCATCTTCCCTTAGTGCAAATCCCTCATAACACTGGCAGATGTATGACTCATCAGCATTAACACAAACATGTTCACAGCCATGGTCAACTGAACTGCAAATGTCTTTATCTGAGAATAGTTGATGATATTTGGTTAAAGCACGCCTACAGTGAGTGTATCATGCAGGGAGAAGTAACAGCTTTTACTAGGTCTACTGGTATCATTGGAAGAAATGGGCAAAAATTTAGGCAGCAAACACTTCCAACTCTTGGTACCTGAAAAACTGTGAGTCTTTTTTGCCTCCAGTCGTATCAGTTTGGCTATTAAAATACACTACTTCTGTCCACAGAGTCTCTTACAGGCTTCAGGCATGTATAATACTACTAGTCCTATATTATAACAGTAAACTGTTCTTGTTGTATTTGTTAGAACACTTCTACAAGTCTACATACTGTAGATAGAAGTCCATGACTAATTATCAGAATACTTACTTCTGCACGTTTTCCCATCTTCTCTCAGCAGAAAACCCTCATGACACTTGCAAACATACGAGTCATCTTCGTTAACACAAATATGCTCACAGCCATGGCTGACTGATTTGCAAATGTCCCGTCCTGGAAATGATTGATATAAACGTAGGTTTTGAAAGAAAACATGTTAAAAAAAAAAAGTAGATATCAAAAGGAAGGGTTTTTTTCCAGTTTTTTTTCCTTGCCTGATGCACATGCAAAAATGTCTAATAGATACCAGTCACTCACTTCTGCACGTCTTGCCATCTTCTCTCAATACAAATCCCTCACGACACTTGCAGATGTAGGAATTGTCAGCACTAACACAAATATGCTCACAGCCATGGTTGACTGATTTGCAGACATTTTTACCTGGAATAATTTAACAGATAAAAAATTATGATGTTAGTTAAGGGCAAGATGTTCCAAGTCTCACAATTCCCAGCTACTGAATGTTCTTGTCCCTGCGAGTATACTACAAATAATTTCTAGCACCTGCTGTCTTTTTTTGTTGCAACAAAAAGGTACACCTTTGTTCTGCTAATTTTACAACCATACTGTTAAGGAAAAGTGCACTGTTCCAGTTCTAGAATTTGTAGAATTTCACATGTCCCTAGCATGCAGATTAGTGACAGACAGGGATTTCAAAAGGCACCTAAATCCCACATCCACATTTCAATTAAACTTTCTGGTGAGAAACACATCTTCCTATCATTATCTTTTTACCATCAGTAATGAACCTGCTCAAACCTGAAATACTTAAGCTTTTTTTGCCTCTATGCTTAGGTTCAGAAGGTGTTTGTCATTTTTCTACAAAGTAGGATTATAGAAGTTTGGTGTATGTAGTGTTTTAAGGGTAGCGAGAAAAACAAATTATATGATCCTGCTGTGAAATTCTGGAAAATGGTCAGCTTTAATTGGGCAAGCAGATGTTCAGTGGGCTTTTCTGATACAGAATTTAGATAGAATTCATATTTCAAAATAAAATAAAATCTATTAATTAATGTTAGATAAACTAATATCTTGCTTTCACTTTCTTCCCCACACCCTTTATTTTCCTGCAAGGAATTAGAATAGAATAGAATAGAATAGAATAGAATAGAATAGAATAGAATAGAATAGAATATTTCAGTCGGAAGGGATGTATAACCATCATCTAGTCCAACTGCCTGAACAATTCAGGGCTGACCAAAAGTTAAAGCATGTTGTTAAGGGCAGTGACCAAATGCCTCTTAAACACTGACAGGCTTGGGGCACCAACCACCTCCCTAGGAAGCCCGTTCCAGTGATTAACCACCCTCTCAGTAAAGAAATGCTTCCTAATGTCCAGTCTAAACCTCCCCTGGTGCAGCTTTGAACAGTTCCCACACATCCTGTCACTGGACCCCAGGGAGGAGAGATCAGCACCTCCCTCTCCACTTCCCCTCCTCAGGGAGCTCTAGAGAGCAACGAAGTCGCCCCCCAGCCTCCGTTTCTCCAAACCAGACAAACCCAGAGTCCTTAACTGCTCTTCACAGGACATCCCTCCCAACCCTTTCTCCAGCTTTGTTGCCCTCCTCTGGACACATTCAAGGACCTTCACATCCTTCTTCAATTGTGGACCCCAGAACTGCACACAGCGCCCGAGGTGAGGCTGCACCGACACACTGAATACAGCGGGATAATAATCCCTTTTGACCGGCTGGTTGTGCTGGGTTTGATGCCCCCCAGGATGGGGTTTTCCCTCCTGGCTGCCAGGGCACGCTGCTGACTCATGCTGAGCCTGCTGTTGACCAGCGCCCCCAGCTCCCTTTCTGCAGGGCTGCTCTCCAGCCACTCCTCTCCCAAATTATATTTGTGCCCGGCATTACTCCATCCTAGGTGCAGAATGTGGCATTTCAACTTGTTAAATTTAATCCCATTAATCCTTTCCCAATGCTCCGATCTACCTAGATCCCCCTGGACTTCTGCATAGACAGAACGTTTTGCTTGCTTCTGGAGTGTCAATACTTTTTGAGACACGCAGAATTTGTCTCTGTTTCCAGGGAATAACAATGTAAGGTAGTGTTGTAATACACAAACTGAGAATAAGGAGCTTTTCATTTGTCATGGTAATGTTTGGATGACTTTAATTTTTTTTCTGTAATTGTTTTTTACCAGCAGATATCAATGAGCTGTATGGATATTATTGGGATTAAAGCTACAAAATACTTATTGCCTGTGTATTTTTCAGAGACTTATCCATGATCCTTCTTTGATCATAGTGATCAAACCTACAAAAATTGAGAAAAATTTACAATGAATCTTTTCTTGATATCTGCCACTCAGAACTGCATAATGTAGTCAAACGTGTAATGCAATTACAGTCATCGCTTTTGCAATCATCTTTACCTCATGCTGGACAATATGAAATTTCCATTAATAATATTGCAAGTTTCATGCTGTATAAGACTTTAGAAACATTATATATTTTTTCCTTGATTTCAGAAGAAATTTACAGTTGTCCCATATAAGGACGTAAGTCAGAATAAAATAGTTTTGGATCCACAACAGTCAAATTTCAGGGTTACTTTTGAAATAGGACAGACATTTAGGGTGTGATTCAGGTGCCTAAAAGTAGGCATCAAGCACCACTTTAGGTGCCCTAGCATACCCAAGATATTGACATACTTCTGGCACATATAACACCAAAGGGGGAACTATGAACTTTTGGAATCCTCGAGCATTTTAAATGACACTCTACAGCAATGTTTAGGCAACCAAATCCTACCTTACAGATTTCTTCTAAGTGTGGAACAAAAATCTAACTCTGACTTGCCGAACAATAACTTACGTTTACATGTTTTCCCATCGTTACGAAGCCTGTATCCTTCAAAACACTGACAGGTATAAGATCTGTCACCATTTACGCACAAATGTTCACAGCCATGATCACTCAGAGCACAATAGTCAACTCCTGCAGAAGCAATTGAAGTTATTAAAAAAAATTAGCAAATAATGAATCAATTATTTTTCATCTCTAATATCTGAACGGCATATAAGCAAGTAAATATAAATACATTGAATTAAGCAATTCAATAATTCAACAATAATTCAGTTCCTTATCTGATAATATACACGTAGCTTCAATAAAATGTAAGAGGGCCTTGTGGTATACTTTCCATTCATTGCTTTAAGCAGAGTTAAGAAATCATATTTCCCTATGCTTAGCATAGCTCAGAGTCCACGTCTCAGTAGTTACAAATTGATTTAAAAAAAAAAAACACAAACAAACCAAAACACTTCAGCAATGATTTTATATACGACAGTGGCAAAGACATAAAAGCTACCTTGTGAACATTCTTCTTTAGATACAGTCTCTAAATGGCCTGATGTGAAGGTGGCAGTCCCCAGAACTCCCTCGTGGGCCTGACCCAGCTGCTCTCTGTGGCAGCAAGCAGAAAACCTCTCAGGGACCTGAGTATGCTTTGGCTTAGACTATTCAAGCTTTTGCAAAGAATTGAAAATGACATGTACTGTCAAATAGAGTCAATTTTTAATCTCAAATTTTCTACGTGTTTCTTCTCTAATACAAAGACATCGGACCCCTGGGATCCTGCGGGCAGCACTTGCTACTGGCTATTGGCTACACACACAGTGTCACTCATTTTTTTGTAATTACTTGCCAAGGTAGAAATCTGTTTACCATTCAGGTATTCCCACAGCTGTCTTAAGATACTTGTACCTGTGTATATGACACCAGAATTGTAATTCCCAGATGTTTTCCCATTAGGAGTGGTATATGTTAAATGCTAATCCCTTCCATTCAACTGCTCATTCAGCAAATCCCAAAGTGCCAAAACTCTTTCCACGATAGCCTAAAAATGTCCATGAGGTTTCAACAAGTCATCTGGAGCTCAGGAATAGGACAAATTTCTTTGCTAAATATACATGAGGAGAGGTGTACGCTGGCAAGAAGAGGAGCTATTCAAAAGGGGTCAGTTTGATTGCACAGGGGGATTCCAGAAGCCACAGCACTGTTTTAATGCTGCTGATAGGTCTCTCAGTACAGCCTGGAGGAAAATAACTCAAAGAGTGAAAAAAACACCTCTTTTTACTACAAAGGAAAAGGGATTTTCCATTTGCAAGTTGATAAAACTCCAGAGTTTGGCTGTTTCTGAATTTCCAGTGGTTCTTTTAGGTAAACGTCTAGATAAAATGTTTCTAGTAGACCCTATTGCTGTTACATGTACACTAGTTCTGCTTTTGCATTACTGTCTGCCCCTTTCTAGAGACCTGCAGTGGCAGACAGAAGCACAGTTTGACAAGGTATTGGATGGGGCTAAAAAGGTTAGTATGGTGGCAAAGACAAGGTTAAAGACAAAGACAAATTGCCTTTGCCGATTTGCCTCACTTCTCCGTAGATCATTTTTGTGACTGAGCACTGGCAGTTTGACTTCTTTTAAAACTGTGGCTCCTGAGTGCAAGAAAAGGAGCAAACTCTGGAGAGGCTCCAACACTCAACAAGCTTGAAAGATAAGGTACCTCCAAAATCTGTAGAAAAAGTGGCCAAAACCCTCTCATCAAAGAGGTCAGGAAAAGTCAACAGGCAAACTGCATTCACATTCCTCTTCTCCTGGCCCTTTCTGTATATTATTTTTTCCAGCGAAGGAAGCAATTCAGCTATTCGTGAAACTGCAATGATTCTCCATAATCATTAGATTTATAAAGGGTGGAGAACTGTCAGGACAACTTTTTTTCACTTATTAAGGGTTCTCATGCAAAATGTAAAGCTCAGCGTGGGACTCTCACTTCTCCTCCTTCCCCAGGTAAGCTGATGCAGTTTGCCTGGGGGACACTGCTGTCAAGATGACCTGTCAGTCAGACACATTTGTTATGTGACTGAAAAACTGTCCTCAACACGTGGGGATGAACAGATCTTCCAAAACTTTTCTGAATACGTGAAGATTTACAGTTATCCTGACAAGTATTGTTTCCTAAGTCCATTTTCTGTCTGTTTCTGCTTTCAAATTGTTATGAAAGTATTATCGAAATGCAGACTGTAAGAATAAATCGAAGATGTGTCCTCTTCTCTGTATGAAACCAGGAGCCTTTCCCAGGTGAGCTGAGATCAAGGAGGTTCTCACAAGACTTACGTGTGCAGGTTTTTAGGTCCTCATTAATGACAAATCCTTCAGAGCACTGACAAACATAGGAGACATCAGTATTTAGGCACAGTTGCTCGCAGCCATGGTTGCTTTCAGCACAGTGGTCCACTCCTATTGATTTGTGTTAAAAATTGAAGAAATCACGTTGGAGCCTTAGATACATACACTATGACACTGTAGTTAGTACACGATGCCTTTGCAGAGCAAGGAAAATAGATCATTACAGCTTTTTATTTAGGCAGTATACCCAACTATTTAAGTAACCTGATTTAATTGACAACACCTAAGTGCTGTTAATACAACAACCCCATTTGGGAAATAAAAAACTTGATGAAGTACAGATAATCCTTGCCAAAAGTCACAAAGGGAAACTAACGCAAAGTGGAGTGAAGGGAGAACCTTGAAGTCCCACCTGGTCTTACCTGCAGCATCATGCTTTCTTTCTTTAAAAAGCAAGACTCTGTTTTGTTCACCATGACATTTTCTTAGAGATATAGTATGAATATTAGTAACTCTTGAAATAGAAATTACGGCTTTCAGATTATTTCACAAACAGTAAACTCTTTTTCAACAGGATGAGAAATCACCAATTTAAACCTGTGAGCAGGTTCAAGCAGTTAAAGCCTAGTGGGGGACAGATACAAATTATGAGTGTCAAAGTGTCTTAGTATGTTCCTTTTCTTTGATTTTCCTGCTCTGATTCCAAATAAGATAAAATGGAATATTTTTTTAGGCTTTTATGCAGCTGGTTGAGTGAAAGATGAAGGGTGGGGGAAGGGAGAGAGGTGTGAATTTGGTTTAAAAATTATATTGTCTCATAGATTGGACAGCAAAGCTGTAGGTAGAGATACGTGCACTTGCAGATGTACTATGTAATCTGCTGACTCTCTAAGTACAGAAAAAGCACATTTTAAGAAAAAAAAGCTTTATACTGAGCTTCCTTATAGTATTTTATTGCCAACTTGTTAATGGCTATTTTTAGTTGTATAGGCCCAAATCACTGTAGCTTAACTTGATCAAAAGTAGTGGTGTTTCCTCAGACCCAAACACAGTCTCATGTCTCTATTTGCAAATCATTTACAGATGTGAACAGGCATGTCTGCAGCTGTTTGTTTACAGAAAAAAATAAATTCTGTACTTAATGTAAAATTACTTAGTTCTAAATATTGCTGTTTATTGTCTAACTAAGCAACAAGTTTACAGTAATTGGTCCAGATTTACCATTATACTTATGTAGAGATAACGTTGGCTTGAACAAGTGAAGCTGAGGTGTCAGTTTTTACTAGCTAAAGCAAGTTCCAGCTGGAACATTCTCCTTTTTCCAAGAGTTTACATCATCATGAAGAGGCTTGTGTAACTTCTCAGAGCACACAAAAAATGTGGAAAATAAAAAGAAAATACCCCCCCCACACTATCCTTTGTGAAAAATTGCATCTGTTTGGCACCATCTTTTACAATACAAACACCCACACAAACGTGAATTTTAACATTTAAATACTTTGGGTTCTTATGCAGAATCTTTTAACACACTTTCAAAGACTGGAGTAATCACAAAGCTGCTAATTACCAGGCTTTAGAAAATAGTACAACTGTAAATTTGGTCATCATGTGTACTTCATTACATGTGTAAAAAAAAAAAAGAAGTAAGAATGGGAAGGGACAGAGGAAGAGTCAGTATTTTTAAAAACAATGAGTGTCTTGGGATATATTAATTTTTACATATTCAACTTGCGGTAACCTAAACCCATAATTGTTAAAAAGTTCTAAGCTCTTGCAACACATCCAAGGTTCCTTAAATATGGCTTTATCACAAACAGTTTATTTAAAAATAATTACTGCCCAGCCTATCAATTTTTTTTTTTTTATTTCAGTGACTGAGCGTTCCTTTGGAAAAATATGTCATAAGTACATCAGGGAAAAATGCTGCCAATATTTTAGATGATGTGCAAAAGGGTTCTCTTGCAATAAAAGTATCGTCTAAAAATTGGGTGATGTCAAGTGGGCAACATTGTTGGGTTTTTCTGGTGCAACACTGGTCCCTTCTTTAGTAACATTCTTATTAAAAGAGGACATTTTATCGAACAGATCACTGAAAGTGTACACATATGGAAGGGGAAAGTCTCCACATATCTCCACATATCAGCATACATCAGTATCAGGTGTGCTCCAGTTTAAATAGTACATAGCAATGATACAGATGTTCAATGGTAAGCACTGCCTTTGTGTTAGACACCTTCACTGAACACATTTTCCCAGTTATTTGGATTGGAGATGATGCTTTATTTCTCTGTTGGATCAGGGATCTCAGTATAGCATTACTTCACTAGGCCTGGCTTGTGGTGGATTTTACAGTAACATAGGTCTGCATAGCTCAGAAAGATCTTAAAAAGGACTCATGAGCATTTTCTTATTCTCTTCACACCTCGCCTGACTGCAGTAACTAGTCGTTGCAGTTCACAAGGCACACATATTGCTGTCATATTGTTGGGCATTGCAGGATGACATTTGCACACAAATGTCTCTTCCATGTTAACACATTCATGTTCACAGTCATGCTGACCTAAAGCACAGAAGTTTACTTCTGGGGAGAGAAAAACAGTGAAGAATTCAAGCCAGCCACGAGGATTTCTCAAGTCAATGGCTTACTTTTCTTAAATGATACTGGATTCTGTGCTTTGGACACCTGTCAGTGAGCTGACGATCTGGGAGCGGATTACAAATACTTGGCTACACAAAACTTCACTTTGGCTCCCACAGACCTGTTCCTGTAGTCATCAGATGTCATGCATCGTGGTGAAGGAGTAACACCTGGTACTGCTCACCAGTGATGCTTTCTCCCTGATTTATAAAGAGGGCACACATGCAAATGTTCCGCTTTATTTTACAAGCTTATCTAATGCGAGCCTCGTTATAACGAGTGTGAGAATAGGAGCTTACTCCTGGAAATGTCACCAGGTTTACAGCAAATCCAAAGCCTCCTAAGGTTAAGGAAAAATACACCGAAATGGGAATTAGTATTTCCCTTTAATTCACATTTACATCCTTGGCAACAAATATTCTACACAATGCTGTTCTTTTGCTCCTCTACTCACCAAGGTGCATCCAATCTATAAAACCCTCGATATATTAAAATAGCTATAGATAATAAAAAACAGAATAGCACAGATTGATGTAAAAATGGTAATGTGTAGACAAAGATGCTTCATGAGAACATATCTTTAAGACTGAAAGAAAATACAGTTCCAAAAACAGATAAGGTTTATAAGCATCTAGGAATATAATTATGTTGCTCCAGGCAAGCTTCCTATTCATAAAACATCAGAAGTACAATTCTCCCCACCAAGAACTGAATCACCAGATCAGGTTAGTTCATTTTGTTGAGTATGTTCTTCTTAAACTTTAACAACATTACATTGAAAATTTGCTGTGATTCCAGGCCCCCACTCAAGAAGAGCTGTAACACCAGTCTTTTTAAAGTAAACAGTATGTGTGATTGGTTTAGAAACCTGACATTGCTGAGGCTGTTTTTATCATTTTTATAGGGAAAAGAGGGGTTTCATGTGTGATTTTAAGTTGATTTTAATAATTACATTACCTGTCCAATATTTCCCAAGCTAATGAAATACATCTATCCTTGGCTAAATGAACTGGGAAAAACAATTTAATTTTTTTTAAAGCTGTTTATGTCATTACAAGACAAGGTCAGAAAATTTCAAATAAGCAATGAACTTATTGTTGTTGATCCACACTGGTTCCTGTATTACTCCTCAGGTTTCCACAAATCTCTTCAGAAAATGTCTAATATGCAATCTAGTCTACAAAACAACAAACAGCATTTTCCAGCATGACGGGCTCAGTTAATATTCAAGTGTATAAAGAAACATTTGTTTCAACCTTAATTATAGAGGAAACTTTCATCCTTTCAGAAAGGAAACCATTCACAGCAGGTTTAAGAAATAAAAGCAGATGAACTTTATTATGTCCAAAGGATTACTCACTTTTGCATGTTTTCTTATCTGGATTAAGTCTAAACCCCTCTTGGCATTGACAAAAGTAGGAATCATCTGTATTAACACATTCCTGTTCACAGCCATGGTCTTGAAGAGCACAATAGTCTGGTCCTAAATGGGAAAAAATTGTGTCAGTGAAGAATATAATTCCTCAGAAATAAGCTAAGTAAAAACCAGTTACTTTGTTTTCTTTTCTTTATCGTATTTACCGCATAGCGTGTACCACTATTGATGAAGGCAAAGAACCTGACATTCACTTAGATGCAGTGTCTGACCATCACTTAGTTTTATATCAGTGGAGTTAATTAATTTATACTATTGAAAGAATGGTCTTAACTCCTCAGCACTGTTAAAAATAGATAAACAAGTCACAAATCTACTAAGTCACATTTTTAAAGACATTCAGCTGCTTTTGAACACCTCATTACACAATCTGAAAAATTACATTCAGAGGTTAATTATTATTCCCAGAAGTAATTGGCTTCCTGAGGCTGGAACTGTTCTTTCTTGTATGTGTGATGGGCTAACGCAATTGAGCCTTTTATATATATATTGAGCCTTAGCAATAATAAAGCAACTATATTTTCAGGACAAACAAAGTGGAAGTGACTTTGTAAGAAAACCTGAGAGGAGTATTTTATCATTTACAAGCTCCACTTCATATATTTATAGAACATTTCATTTACCAAAGGTTTTTATGACAGCATATGCACATACATATATGTATACACAACACAAAAAAAAAATAATTAGAAAATATGGTTTGCTCAAGAGTACACTAAAGAGACAGAAACCATAAAGCCATGTGTGTGCACCAGAAGAATGTAGCTGTACATCTTCTGGACCTACTCAGTGCTGGGTTGCATTTATCTGCCCAAATCCTTGCTAACTGAAATGCACACAACAGACTTTTCCTGTGTAACTGATTCTAAAGATGACCACAAGTATTGAAAAATATGTTTTATTATCTTTGTTGGAGCCTTGAGGCTACTATGTTTGAAACACTAGAAACACATTTCACAGGGCTTCATTAACACAGTCCAGATTAAGGATGCTAACAGAAGGCCTCTACCAGCTACACACATCTGAATCTACCCACAACTCAAACCTGAGACTTCCCAAAAGAACAACAGTTGAGGCTCAGCACCCCTAAGTACAAGCAGAAACTACCATCTGTCCTCCTGAGGGGAGCAGTAAAAGTGGCAAAAGTCCCCTCAACAGTTAACTTAGTAGCTAGGAATTACTTCTACCTGCCTCACTGATAATCTGAATTCGCTGCTCTCCTCCTGCCACACATAGAGTACTCTGCTGCTGTTGTCAGGGTTGCTCTCATAAGCCATGTTCCTTGTATTTCCTTCTGAGAAGTTTGGAGTAATTCCCAGAGAAAACATTTGTCAGATATGCATGACCACACTGATAACATTTACATTTTCAAGCTTTTCTCTGTAGCCATGAGCATGAAAGCTTACTTTCTATTTTTGAAAGGAAAGCCAGGATTCTGAGATAATCACGAGATGTTGGGAGCTGGCGCCCCAGGCACAGGTCTGCTTGCTGGTGCAGAGCTCTGGTCTGGCGTGGGTGTGAGGCTTGGCGAGTTGGCAGTCATCCCTGAGATTCAGTACGTAAGCCAAATATGTAGAAATTTATGTTAAAGGTTTTAAATTTACAAACATTTTAAATCCAGTGATCTGAAGTTTGTTTCTTCATGTTGTTTATGCTGACTCAAAGGCAGCATGATTCATAACATATGAGAGCTAGGGGACACTTCTGCTCTAAAGAGCGCTCACGCTGTCTTGACTTTCACAGCATGAAGAGCTACTCAGTTCTTTCATTTGTGCTTTATTTTATTAGCAAGGCTCAGGAGATATCAAGTATAAGGAAAAGTGGCTTTGTAAGTTTTATTTATGCTTAGATTCAGGACGTGCATGTTGAAAGAGAATGATTTGACATGGTATTCGCTCATTGCCCCCTGACTACTCCTTCTGAATCAAAGTCTACGGCCTACCATTTCCAGTCACTTTGATTTTTCCCTAATTGCAACCTGATGGAATTTTTTTCCCTCAATTTTAAACTAATTTAAAGCATTTAAAACAAAACAGAATGCAATTAAGATGGCAGAGGTACATAGAGCTGTGAGAAGCCTTGTCTGTGGCCTCTGCCTTTTGGCTTGCGAGCTGCATTTAATGCCCGTCTCTCACCCTTGGTTCTCGCCTGAGCTATGCTATAGGTACGCCTGTGCCTGGCCTTGCATTTTGCTGATCCTGAGCTGCAGACTGGCTGACTTGGTTTCCTGAATTGACCTCAGACCTCTCTTGACACTATGGACTTGTCTGATGATCATTGGATAGTTGGCTGAGCCTGGTTACTGTCATAGGACCTGTTTTGTTCTTCTTTTTTGGATACTGTGGGACCAAAGGCCTTGTCAGAGAGATTACTGACCCTGCTTGCCTTGTAGCCACCCTTGGCTCCCAGCTTGCACTCCCTTGCGGAGCAGTGTACTTTTGAGTTACATGTTAAGGATCTCCTCCATTCCACAGAGATCCATCATGAAAGCACAGACGTGAGTGATCAAGATCAGAGGGGAAATGACAATGGGAATGTGGTGGTGGAGTCTGTTACCCCATCTGACCAAAAAGATGTAGTGAATAAGGCTTTCTATAAACAGACAGCAGAAGTCTCCAACTGATAGGCTTTTCTTCATATCGGAAATTTCAACCATCCAAACACCCACTGGGAGAGTAAGACAGCATTGTGCAGGCAACTCAGGAGTTTCTGCACAGACTTGCTGACAACTCCCTAACATAAATTCTTGAGGGGTGATCTTCTTCTTGACTTGCTGCTGTGACCATGAGATGACTGAGTTCATAATCCAGAATCCTGTAAGAGGATTCATCGATGATCTGGATGAAGGGATAGAGTGTACCATCAGCAAGTTTGCTGATGACACAAAACTGGGAGGAGTGGCTGACACGCCAGAAGGCTGTGCTGCTTTACAGCATGACCTTGACAGGCTGGAGAGTTGGGCAGAGAGAAACCTTATGAAATTCAACAAGGGCAAGTGTAGGGTGCTGCATCTGGGGAGGAATAACCCCATGCATCAGTACAGGTTGGGGGCTGACCTCCTGGAGAGCAGCTCTATGGAAAGGGACTTGGGAGTCCTGGTGGACAACAGGACAACCATGAGCCAGCAATGTGCCCGGGCGGCCAAGAAGGCGAATCGCATCCTGGGGTGCATCAAGAAGAGTGTGGCCGGCAAGTCAAGGGAGGTCATCATCCCCCTCTACTCTGCCCTGGTGAGACCGCATCTGGAGTACTGTGTCCAGTTGTGGGCTCCCCAGTTCAAGAAAGACAGGGATCTGCTGGAGAGGGTCCAGCAAAGGGCTACAAAGATGATTAGGGGATTGGAACATCTCTCTTATGAGGAAAGGCTGAGGGACTTGGGTCTCTTTAGTCTAGAGAAAAGAAGATTGAGGGGGGATCTTATTAATACTTACAAATACTTAAAGGGAGGATGGCAGGGGGATGGGAACAGTCTTTTTTCAGTGGTGCCCAGTGATAGGACGAGGGGTAACGGGCACAAACTTGAGCATAGGAAGTTCCATCTTAACATGAGGAGGAACTTCTTTACTTTGAGGGTAGTGGAGCACTGGAACAGGCTGCCCAGAGAGGTTGTGGAGTCTCCCACTCTGGAGACATTCAAAACCCGCCTGGACGCCGTCCTGTGCAACCTGTTGTAGGTGACCGTGCTCTGGCAGGGGGGTTGGACTAGATGATCTCCAGAGGTCCCTTCCAACCCTAACCATTCTGTGATTCTGTGAAGCAGAATTCAGACTCCATATTTTACAAGCGCAGATTTCAGCTTATTCAGGGAATTGCTAGGAAGAATCCCCTGGGAAAGAGCCAAGAAGAGAAAGGATGTCCAGGAGAGCTCGATGATTTTTAAAGAAAACTTTAAACTAAGAGCTCAGGAACAAATGATCCTATCATACTGGAAAATCTGCTTAGATGATCAAAGAGCTTCTCAGTGAACTAAACCAGAAGGAAAATAGTAGAGGGAGAAAGAAGGACCAAGAAAAAAAGACAAGTATAAAAGCATTGTTTAGGTACTTTGGGACAAAACCAAAGCCCAGCTGGACCTATGACTACTGAGGTACGCTAAGGGTAATAAGAAGGGAGTCTACAAATATGCTGGTAGCAAAAAGAAAGTCACAGATCGGAAAGAAAGTGGGTCTGTTGGCTAGGGGAACAACTTAGTAATAAGCAACACAGAAAAAATAATGCCCTTGTTATTCCTGGTTCTCATAGAAAAAGCCTGCTCCCAGATTTCTATGTGTACCAGCACAGTTTGGGAAGGAGAGAGGCTAGCAACACCGGTTAGTGATTACTTAGAGAAACTAGATATACACAGATCCATGTGGCTGGTATGGGATGACTGGTGTTAGCCTATGGGTGCTGAAAGAACTAGGTGATGTGACACCACTGTCTATCATGTATGAAAATTCACAGGGACCAAGAGATGTTCCTGATAACTCAAAAAGGCTGACATTACACTCATCTTTAAAAAAACGTAAGAAGAAAGACCCAGGGAACATAAACCAATCTGCATCATTTCAGTCCCAGGATCATCGGGCACATCCTCACAGAATTGTCTTGTACAGACTTGTTTGTTTACCTAGCCAGGGAGATGATATTCTAACTGAAAAATCTGGATAATCAAAGAGACTATGCAAGACAAAGCTCTTGGTTTTACTATTGAAAAAGGAGCCTCGTCTCATGTTAAAAGCTTCCTGTTCATAGAAGGGACCCCTACCCCTACTTCCTCTCCCCCCAAAACATACTACCCCCAAAACCAACTTTCATTGCTTTCATGACCTTTGGCTTTGAGGCCACTCCCAACATTTTCTATACCTGTTGCATTATTCAACGTTCCCAAGACCAGTGGGAGCATTATTGCTGAGAACTGGAAGACAGAAGTACAAACTGTTCATAATTAATACTTATCACAACTTACTTCTGCAAGTTCTTTTGTCTGGATTTAAAATGAACCCTGGGTGGCATCGACAGTAATAGGACTCCTCAGTGTTAACACATTCATGTTGGCAACCTTGGTTATCCAAAGCACAGTAGTCTACAACTGAAAAGGAACAACACCAACAAGTACAATTAGAAAACCAAAATTAGAACTATTATGCATAGAGATTATGGTACTGGTTACAAACAGTAGCTATAAAAAAGGAAAAGCTGACATAATTTATGTCCTGAAGAGCCTTTCTGCAAAAAGTAGTGGACATTCAATACCAGTTGGTACATCAGATTTGATATGAGTCCTGGAAAATTTTTCCTACCCTTTGAACATTTATCAACACTCAGATTGTCAGGAGCCTTGTCAACATGTTTTCTCAGATCTGGAAACCACGCCTCAGTCAGTAACTCTGTCCAGATGTTCACACTGTAGACTAGGGCGTAGCAAAGTATGTTTGATTGAGTTCTGTCTTCTGTCTCTCCAATCCCAGCCCTGGAATTGCTCTACTTTTCCTTAGTTCCCTCCCAGCTGTACTAGTTCTCAAGAGCTGTTCCTGTAGCCTGAGGATATAGGAAACCCATGGCAATACCTTCTACACTGAGGACTGTCACAGTACATTCATTCCCTTTAATGGGCTCCAGATTCATCCTGAACGAAGCAGTTGCAGCTACGAAGCCTGAGAGCTTCAGGCTGATATTCACCACTGATATTTTGCTTATATAATGCCTTTTATATGAGAAAAATAAAACATCTTAGCTTGTCCAGTCACTTATTTCATAAGCCTGGTCATTTATTACACAAACCCATATTTACAAGACTGACTGCCAAAGGGTAATAAGGTAATACTTTAAGTGTTTATTCAGTCAAGCCCACTGAAAAGTGCTAAAAAAAAGTGAAATGATTTGGGGTTTTTTCTTCGCAGGTTAAGCTCTTTCTTCACAAAAAAAAGTCTTGGAAGAAATTAAAGATAAGTCACAAAGCAGGTGTTCCGTCCCCAAAGACCTGCCAGGCCCAGATTAGGCAAGTTTACCCGATTCTTTCTGCAGAAGACAGTAATGTGCTCAGCTTCACATAGACACTTAAGGAGACAGCTTCCCCTTCTTTGCCAAATGAGTAATTTTTTCATTACTTTATACTGCTGAGCCTCCCGAATTGCTTTAAGAGGCAGTAAATTGTTTTAATGAAATCAGTTTCTTCAATAGCCCTGCCTTTGCAAATCATGTGTATACTCAGGTGTACTAAGATATTTAGTCAAGGTCATCTAGTCAGGAAAGAGGATAATCCATTTAGTTACTTTGAAAGAGCTTCTTTTAACTCTTCAGAATATTTGTGTTGAATCAAGTCAAATTAGACTACTTACTGGCTGCTATGTGAGACCATTTTCCTGGCAAGCACCTTCCTGTTTCCAGACTGAATAGCTTCATATAAAAATGTATTTACTGAATATATATTTCAAGGATATAATGTGTCATACAATTAGTCTGCTTGCCTCTTAAATTCATTCTAACCATACACACATTTTCAAGTGTTTTAAAAGACACACTAAGAAATAAGTAAGCCAAAGAATATATCATTTTTTTTTAACATCTTACCTGAGAAAAACTCCATATGGATCACTCCATAAAGTCACCTTCTCCTCTGCATTTAAACCATAATGAAATGCATTTCTACCATAACACCTGCCACTGCCTGACTAATAATTATGAAGGGAAGGGAGGGGAGGGGACTATTTCAGTCGGAAGGGATGTATAACCATCATCTAGTCCAACTGCCTGAACAATTCAGGGCTGACCAAAAGTTAAAGCATGTTGTTAAGGGCAGTGACCAAATGCCTCTTAAACACTGACAGGCTTGGGGCACCAACCACCTCCCTAGGAAGCCCGTTCCAGTGGCTCACCCTCTCAGTAAAGAAATGCTTCCTAATGTCCAGTCTAAACCTCCCCTGGTGCAGCTTTGAACAGTTCCCACACATCCTGTCACTGGACCCCAGGGAGGAGAGATCAGCACCTCCCTCTCCACTTCCCCTCCTCAGGGAGCTCTAGAGAGAAATGAAGTCGCCCTCCAGCCTCCGTTTCTCCAAACCAGACAAACCCAGAGTCCTTAACTGCTCCTCACAGGACATCCCTTCCAGCCCTTTCACCAGCTTTGTTGTTTGAGAGACAACTAAACAGGTCTTAGAATGCTTTGTTATCAACCTCTGAGCAACTTTGACCCTAAGCAATTTCAGATGACAGTTTCTTGAGGGAGGAACTGTGCCTTCTTATGGCTTTGCAGCTGCTAATGTACCGTGGACAGAAACAGAAAAAACTCAATGAAATGAATAACTAATTTTTCCAGGCTTGCTTTTTTCCATTTGTAGTCATTCTGAGGACCTCTTACACACAGAAGTAGGTCTGTTGGCCCGTAAGAATAATAAGCATATCAATTCAAATAATGCGTTTCCACTAACACAATTAAGAAGTGAAAACATTCTCATGACAGTTGCTGTTGGAGATAAGTATTATTCCCTTTTTCCAATAATTTTTGTATACAAATTGCCCTAATTCCAGTGAGGCTTAATCTTGCAGACCGGTACTAGTCATTGGCCTACAAATTCATTTCACTTTTAGCTTCGTGTTTCATTTTGGTGGTACGTGCTTAGAAAGGAAACTTGTCAACAGCATTCCAGTCAGCAAGTAGGTAGGTTGTCCATGGAGTTAAATATTCCTGAAAAAACTGAGAGAAATTATAAATCTATATTTCTTATATTGAAGTACTGTAATCTTTAGTTGGTATGCAGAAAATATACACAATTTGTAAACGAGCAAAGCAGAATAATATTTTTCTAATTTTCTTTAAAGTTCTACTATGTTCATATTTCTGTATTGAGTCATGAGATATACACTAGAATGTGAACAATTAGATATCTCACTGTTTTCAATCTTAGCCCATGACTATTTCCATAAGAAACTTTTCTAAAGGATGAATTAATGACCTTTTTAGTGAGCAAGCAATTAATTCAGTTATCATCTCCCTGTGTCTGTTCCACCCTGTTTTTCTGGCTTGGAATTAGTTGGTAAGTGACAAGAGCCATCTTTTACTTCCAGTTACCAGTCCTGCACTCTAGGTGCTTACATTGCCCTCTCTGAACTGTGGACAGCATGGGTCACCTTTCTCTTGTATTGTTGTTTTATTCCTGTGATATTTATATTGTTTTTTCAAGCTTAGGAGAACAAAGTAAGTTAAGGAGAAGGGTAGAGAAAAAGGGTAAGAAGAAAAGGTGACAGAATAAGTAAAGGCATAAGGAGAATAAAGAAGAAAGTGGGGAAAGATAGAAAGCAGCCAAAGAGCGGTGCCAGGAGTGCAGAGAGGTGCCAGCAGCCAAACCACTGCCAGGAGAAGAAGTCCCAAGCCCAACAGCTGCAGCAATACGGAGACAGGGTAGCACTAGAGCCAGGAAAGAGAAGACAGCATGTCCAGCAACACCAAGAAGGTGGAGAGACTGAGTGTTCAGCAGCATGATGGAGAAAGAATGGCTCATTAACAGCAAACTTCAACTGACAGCATTTTTTTCACATGAAAGGAGGGCAGTTAACATGGAAAGCTGTTTAAAAAGGCAAAGTGATAGTGCTCTGTCAGCCATACTTATCACTGAGCAGACAGTTCCAAATATTGTTTAGTCTACAAATTTGTTCATAAACTGCGTATTGCAAACACTCAGAGTGGTTAGCTATTCAGTCCTCACTTTTAATGGACACGTTGTGAGCTGCTTGGTTGAGAGATTTTATTTAGCTATTGCCATGCAGGTAACTGGCTGACACACGTGTCAATGACCTAATTAGTATTGCCTTTGATCCTTAACCAGAGAAATCAGCCCATCAGAAAAGCGGAAGAGAACTTAATAGATGTGCCTGTGAAATGAGTTTTCTGCACTTTCTCGTTTACTTCTGATGGAGTTAAAATTTTAGAAGTCTTAGATATCTTAGGTATCTTAGAGAGAAACCTTTGGCTCCTAGAGAGAACCATGATGTGTATGTTCTGCTGAAATTGTCTCTTCATTCTCTGGACGAAGAGGAGGGAGTAACCTTAATGAAGTCACTGCTTTTTACAAAATTGTTGTTGTGCTCAGTGTTTTCTGGTATCCTGCTCACTTGATAATAAATAATTCACAGAAAGGATTGGTTAACTAGCTTAAGAGTAATGAAAACTGAGAGTTATAACTACTGATTCAGTACTATACATAGTGTCCTTTAAAAGATTTTCAGCAAGCATGATTATTCATTAGTGATCACATCTGCAGAAGCTGTACATTCTTGGTAGTAGCATATTCCTCAAAAATTGCAAATTGTTCAAATATGAAAAGTTAAATTCTGGAGACTGACAGCTAATAGGATTTGCAGACAAGTTAGCAACAAACCCGCAAATTACCCAGACAATCTTTTCCTGTTCAGGAAATGTAGAGAGGCTAAGTTCTGCATGGGAAAAACATAATTAATATACATTGAACCATTCATGTGCATCAGTAAGAAATGAAAAAGTTAAATGGTCAAATAGATGCAAAAGAAAATTGAAAAATAGAAGTGCTAATAATGTGCTTTAAACCCACAATTAATACTGCTAATTATTGCAGGGGTATGAATAGCATGAATTCATGTGTTTATGCTAAACTAGGAAATCAAGAGGAGAGGAAAGACAGCTATAAAATTCAAAATATTATAATGAACCCATGCATGAACGGTATCTTGAAAATAATTGAAAATAACTGAGACTATGAAAGCTTCAAATGTCATCAATTGAACTTATAATAGGCTGGTATCTCTCCATGCTGAAGAGTCAGTGAAGAGGTAGAAAAAAAAAGTTAAAGATGTATCACACCTCCAAATAGCACATTTCAGACTTTGCAGAGAAATCATTAACAAGCAAAAAACAACTGTCACCATAAGAAATTTAATAAATGGCATAAAAATATTTTTAAGATTTTAATGAGAAAAATAGACTTTGTATTTATTATAGAGGCTAATATTATGTTTGACACACAAAGAATTTTACCAAAATTGATTTTTATCCCTATGGTGTTATGGTAGCTACCTTCCTGGTAAGAATATCTTGGGCTGTAAAGGACCCTTCAACTAATAGAGAGAAAATACTAACAACAGCTGATGACACTAAGCATGAATATTTTGGATTAGAACATATGGTAGGAAAGAACTTGGGATGAAAGAACCTACCAACATGAGTCACGGATTTTCTGTCTCAGGATATAGTCAAATCAATAGCAGAGAAATATATGCTTTATTCTATCACAGGCAGAGGTCATGATTAGCTAAGCTTATTGGATGAACTTCTGTGGAGTCTCAGATATAAAAATTTGTGCGAAAACATCTACCAGGACTTCTTGCCTAAATAGCATTAGCTGCATTTTCAAAACAGTTCAACTCCAGAAAGCAGGTTCTTAAAATGGTGTATTAGTGGCCAAATTATGCTGAAGATAAATTATGTTGAGAAAGTTAAACACTCCTGTACTGAGATAATAAAGCTACAAGTAAGGGAAACATTTCTGAAGAATATGTACACAGTGAATGTTCTTCAAAACCGCATATGTTGTCCTAGGTCTAAAAAACCTCAAAACCTCATTTGTGTGTTACATGCAGAAAGTTCAGTCCACAAACTATCATCTATTTTGCATCTCAAAATAAGATTATCCTGCAAGGTAATAGCTCTCTGAAGGTAATAAGAAACAGATTATATTATGTTAGAGTTGTTTAAAATGACAAGAAAGAGTAAACTCTTGGACAAAAGCATTGTGGTGGCCTGTGGCAAATCTGGGGCCAAGGATTCACTTGGATTCACTTCCACAGGACTTCAGCATGTGTTTGAAATTAAGCATGCATTTAAGTGTTTGCCTGAAGAGAATACCTAACAAATAAGGCGATTTTTTTCAAGGACTTGCTAGGGGGTTTTTGTGTGGTGGATACCAGAAGACATATTTTCCCAAAATGCAGCATGGGATGAAAAGTTTACGAGAAGGCTAATAGGCTAGTGAAAAAGATTATCCTAAAATTATTTACTGTGTATAAATGGGGAAGAAGACTGAGATAATTATACAGTAATAGAGAGGGGAATATCTTTTGTGTTAAAAAATTATTGCACTGTATCTCCACACTCACTCTTTGAAGTTGCAATTCTTAGAGCTGATGTCTTCTTCTTTAGAAGAAGATGGCCTATGGCATCCTGGGGTGCATCAAGAAGAGTGTGGCCAGCAAGTCAAGGGAGGTCATCCTTCCCTTCTACTCTGCCCTGGTGAGACCGCATCTGGAGTATTGTGTCCAGTTCTGGGCTCCCCAGTTCAAGAAAGACAGGGATCTGCTGGAGAGGGTCCAGCAAAGGGCTACGAAGATGACTGGGGGATTGGAACACCTCTCTTATGAGGAAAGGCTGAGGGACTTGGGTCTTTCTAGTCTACTCCGGAGAAAAGAAGACTGAGGGGGAATCTTATTAATGCTTACAAATACTTAAAGGGAGAGTGCCAGGAGGATGGGAACAGTCCTTTTTCAGTGGTGCCTAGTGATAGGACAAGAGGTAACAGGCACAAACTTCAGCATAGGAAGTTCCATCTTAATACGAGGAGGAACTTCTTTACTTTGAGGGTAGTGGAGCACTGGCACAGGCTGCCCAGAGAGGTTGTGGAGGCTCCCACTCTGGAGACATTCAAAACCCGCCTGGACGCCGTCCTCTGCAACCTGCTGTAGGTGACCCTGCTCTGGCAGGAGGGTTGGACTAGATGATCCCCAGAGGTCCCTTCCAACCCTGACCATTCTGTGATTCTTTACTGACCATAGCGAAAATTAAAGGCACGCAGTGGATGGGTTCTTAAGGAGGGCTAAACTTTCTTTAAAGTCACCTTCCCCAAAAGAGTTTGACCATAAAACCAAGTGAAAAATGGCAAAAAATTGTCCACTTTCAAGTTTCTCCATGTATAACTTCTGCCTGAAGAGGAGCTACCAAGTTTGTCTGGCTTTGTTTGTCATTTAATGGCCACATATATCATGCCAGTACATTGCTGGCCACCTACATGGATCTAGAATAAAACATCTGGTGTGTTGTCTCAAAACAGCAATGTTACTTACTGTGTGAAATTAGTTGGAACAATTTTCCCAAGCCACCATTCATTATCAGTAAAGGCCTATGAACATGCCAATACGTGTTCTTCCTTATCTACCACTCATGTAGGAGAAGAGAACTTGCCATCAATTGTCTATGGCTAAACTACATATTAATTTACATTGAATTTCCCTTTGGTTTGTGTCAAGAGATAAATCTGAATTTCTAAACTTATACTCACCGACACAATTCTTTCCATTTGCATCAAGCTCATACCCTTCATAACACTGACAGACGTAAGACCCAGGTGTGTTCACGCAAATCTGCTCACAGGCATGTTTCTCCACAGCACAAAGGTCCTGAGCTACGAAACATAATTACATGAATATGAAATTCTTGGGCCTTCTATAATGCACAGGTAGACTATAAATCAAAAATAAATTTCAGGAATCTATGCACAACTCTTTAGAGATGAGCTCATTTTAACACAGATCATGTCAATGTTCTGTCAAACAGTTAAAGTCTTATGCCAGCAAGAACAACCACTCAAAGCTGAGGACCTCGCTCCTTCAGCTGAAGGCAATGACTATCGAAGGGCCAATGGTCCCTAGTAGAGTTGCTTGACTGTATATTTCTCTCAAAAGTTTGAAGAGCATTCTTCAGTTTTTGTGGGGAAAAAAAAAAGTGTTTATTTATGTCGTCTTTTTTTTTTTTTGCATAACCCTCCCAGATAAACGATGATGAGGTTGGAAAGGGGAAGAAAAGGAAGACACAACACAGGGAAGACTTGGGGACATTTCATTTCTGAGGTTTTTTTCAGTTTTGTGCAAAATACCGTAACAAGTTACACCTCCCAAGCAAAAGATCTCATTAGAAAAATTACTACGACAAATTATGTCAGTTCATCACATGGCCCAGTGAAGCACATCGAGCTTTCTTTTCAGTAGACTAAAGTTTTCTGAGAACCCCAAGTTTCCCCAGTGAAATCTCTGGAAAGCAGAGTACTTTGTGTTGCTCAGGATCAGGCTCAAAGACTGCTTGGCACATAATGATCCTTTACAGCTACAAAAAAGGCTTTTGGGTCATGTTTGAGGAAACTAGCCATGCAAATACGATTTTTCTTTTATAGCTGTCTGCTTCATATCAAATGGCATGATGAACAGCATAAACAGTCATTTAACTCTCTTGTTCCAGTATAAACACCCACAAATAGATAATTTTCCAGCTTGTTTCAGCTACATTTCCTCTTTCGTACTATTTTGTGTATTAATGCATGATTTGAACATTTCTAGAGAAGAATGGAAGAGATTAAGTTAAACAAACAAATACAGTGTAATGAGTAAAGAATAGCCATTATCTGACACAACCACCCTTCTCTAGAAAAGTTAGACGAGAGTATGTGAAAGGAACATCCTTTGCATGGATGCAAAACCATCCTAATGAAATAAATGTATGAATATTTCAAGTTAGACAAAAGACCTTCTTTTTCCCTAGTTCTGTTATGGGAGATAGCTGAGTAGCCCCCTCCCCACATGGAAAGCAACAAATCACAAGTATGGCAGATTTTCTTCCTTCAATGCAAGGAAATAATGTTTTTAGAAATAATGTTATAATGAAATGTATCAAGGAACAAAACTCTCATCCATTCAAAAGAAAAATGCACCCTTTTCCAGCCTGAAGCAAAGTTGTCAATTCATTGCTGATTGAAGCCAATTGGTTAAGGGCTTTTAAGCACTGAATATGGATATGATGTACTCTCACAACATAGAAAAAAGGGAACAGAAGAATGAAGAGTATAACTAGGTACAGAAGAATGAAAAGAGTATAACTTTAGGTACATACCATTCATCTTTTCTGCAGTGTTTAATTTAGAAAGTGTTACAATATATATGTAAGGAAACTATTTGTTCATGAAAGAGCTGACAAATACGTCCAAACCTTAGATAAATACATCTGGTTTATGTTGTATTCATGTATTGCACTAAGCATAAACATGATGAAGATTTATTTTACTTAGAGGTCAAGTAAGAAACACGTTGTCTCTGTGGAGTTGTCGACAATCAGCAGCCAATGAAGGTAACCAAAATGGTCACAGCCTGTGGGTTTTTCTATCGTCGTGCTTCCCCTTACCCCCAGAAACAAGCTGTCCAGTTTGTCCAGGCTTGGTCCCCTTTCCTCCTGAATTCTGTTACTTCTCTTGGGAGTTTTTAGACATAATGGTCTGACCTTGTCTAGACTGCTACATTATCATCTCCCTCCTTCACCAATGCCTTGCACCATCCTAGCACATTTAAGGCCAGTTTGATGGCTCTCAATACTAGATTTCCAGTGCTAATTGCTAAAATTAGTTTATAGTTTGGTGACGTTAAAAAATGTCCATTAGAAGTAGGCTACAAACACAGTGAATGACTCATTTCCCTTTCATATTTAGCAAACTGCTATCTAGTATCATCTGATTGATGATCAAAGCAAGTACAGAGTTAAGCAAATCATGTGTGACAGGTAAGTGGAGAAAACTAATGTGACAGCTAAAAACAAAAAGTAAAGCAATGCAGCAATGGGCTTTGAAAAATGGTAGAGAGGGAACATACTGAGGGCTACTGTGCATGGCTCACCAGTTGGAAAACTACACACCATTCCAAAACTCTCTTGAAAATTAATCTGTAATTTGAAGCAGTGCAGTGCCCAAAAGCTGAACTACTGGCTGATAAAAACTACGGAAATGTAACAGAATAAAAAAGAAAATATAGTAAAGAAATAATTTTTCATACTTGTAATTAATTTTTTTTAATTGACTCAGAAAAAAAAATCAATTGTCAAAATTGATGTTAGGGGTGAGGATGGGGAAAAATGTACGAGAGGAAATTAAAAAAAGAGAAATTTTGAATTTCAAATAATTTCCAGAAAATTGAAAGCAAAAGTATTCTTTCTTAAAAATTCTTTAAGAAAATTAATAACATGAGGAAGGTTTAAAAGAAAAGTTTAAAGGATATGAAAGTTTTAAGTAAGAAGCATTTTAAGAGGGACACAATAAAAAGAATAGGTTAGAGAATATTATTGAAATGTGATTACATAGTTGGAGCCATCATTTGGGATTCTGACCACCCTCTTTCTGAATAGCTACAGCAAATATGCGGAAGCAGATAAAATAGGCTGTGTGAAAAATTGTTCTTGTCACTATTCTTGTCTTGGCTCAGCTGGTAAGCCAAATAATAATTAGGAGATATTCTAGATTGGATTGATTATTTTTTTTTGCATTTTCTTGAGGAAACAAAACCACAAATAAAGTGTTAAATTTGTTCCATTTAACACAAAACATTTCCCTATAATTCACACACATGCATATGAAAATGTCTACATTTGGTAAAGGATGCTGGTGAGAAGGACTAGAAAACAGAGATTCCTAAAAGTAACACATCCCATAACTTGACAGCATAGGAGGTGAACAGCTCAAAAGAAGTTTCCTGCTGTAGCCCATGCAGCAGCAAGAATGTCCAAATCGCTCCAGTGCCGACATTCTTTTGTTCCCATTTCTATTTACTGAGGCTCTGACTGAAACCATGTGTCCCGCCGCACGTGTAAGGACTCTAATCCCCAAGCTGCAGAGTTGCCTCAGATACTCACTTACTCCTGCTGGTTCGGTGGTTGTTAAGTATTTGATAGAAAATACAACATTAAGCAAGAGAGACTAAGAACCCTCTAATTTCAAGCTACCGGATTGTTTTACAGCACTCTCCTCAGATGTGGAATACATGAGTTCAAACACAAGGACAGGATTTGAGCCTGCATCCTTCACCTTAATTCTAAATTATCAGTTGTGAGGGGTACATCCTATGCTCTCACCATGACTGTATCCTCCAGCTTTTTGAAAAGACATTTTCCAAACTTTTTCTTCTGGCTAGAATCAGTTTGGCAAATTTCACTTGAATCCATGCACTGCTGTGGGATAAGAAACTGCATTTTTTGCAAGTATGTTTTCCACAAGTAACTAAAAATAGTATTTCTTTAAAATAATAGTGGATACAGAAATAAATTTGGCATACCTGTCTAATGTAGTCTGCTGTTAATTACTAGGAAGCAAGTTAAAAGGGACATAAGAAACACTGCTTACAAAGATATACAAAGCGAAATACAGTTTGTTATTATAAACTATAAAGCAAATTACTTAAAAACTCAACCCTTTCAAAGAAGGACATGAGAGCATAAGCCAGACTTTTGAAACTATTCTTTGAACAGTTGCAAGCCCTTATACTTCAAGCAGCAGTTAGGAAGAGAATTTCAGAACGGCAAGTTATTTCACAGTTCTCTAGTATGGGGTTTATTGCACTTTTCTGTACTATTTAGTGCTGGTTGCTATCTAGACAAGTTACTAAAGGAGTTGGATTCACTTCACATGAGATGATAAAACAGTTCTTTCCTTGACTGTTGCTTCATTGTTGAACTTATTACACCAATAAAATTCAAATGCAACTTTATGTAGTTACAGTGTACATCTGCAGAGCTGTGTATAAAAATTAGCTTGACGTATTTCAGAAAGGTTTATAAGAACTTCATTTACACAAACCAAGAAAAAGAATTACAACTTCACTTTTTCAGACTCTTTCTGATGATTACCATTCATTACATACTGAGCTCAGTCCCTTATGAGCACGACAAAGAGGGTATGTGATGTTAAGCACTTTTGGGGAGCATGAAAGAGAAAAGTTAAGAAAGATAACATACTGCTGCAAGTCTTCTGGTCAGCATTCAGAATGTATCCTTGTTTACATTTGCATACATAGGAGCCAGGGGTGTTTATGCAGAAGTGATCACAGCGATGCTCAACTGTACTGCACATATGGGGCACTGAAAGAAAAAAGTAAAACGTTATTAACTGCTGGTCTTACTTACTTGTGGTCACAACTGAAAAGAAAAAGTGCAGAAAATGTTACTGAAGTAATTTAGAAAATTTAAATTAAACGTTGACAGTAAAGACAAAAATGGAAACTTGAGCCTGAAAGACTGTAAAAAAAATCCTCAACAAAGAGCACTATGTATTTATTCCTAAAAAAAAAAAAAAAGGAATCCAGATATTTTCTGTCTGGTTGACATTGGTGGCATGTTTTTGAACATGAAATTACATGTGGAATGGAGATATAAACAAAATAAAAATACACAATACAATATCTAGAAAGACTAATTACTTGGTGGTCCCAAGAAGACAATGAAACAAACCTACCGCATTCAAATTTAGAAAATAAGTGGAATTTAAGTACAAACTGTTCTAGAGGACATTCAATTTCTTGAATGAGGAAAATCAACACACAGCACAATACTAAAGAAAAATGACTGGAAAACAGCTTGATGAAGAATCTGGTTTCCTTAGTTATTACTGTCGAGGAACATACAAGCAATACATGATGACACTGAGGTCATGCATCTCCAAGATTCAGTAAGTGGGCGTTGAGCTGAGCTACACTCCAGAGTATGTCTTTCTAAGTCTATTTTTAATCTATTTGTAATTTATGTCTCTAATAGCAAGTAGTAAAATGCAACAGAATGAGACAGTAAGAAAGAAAAAGAATAGTGAGCCCACTCTGTCAAATTCGTTGCTGAACTATTTTTCTCCAGATCAGTAATTGGGAATTAAGACATCTCCTTGATGTTTTCTTTCCACTGGAGCATTGCTTGTATGTAATTTCTATAATATATAGGTGAATTACTTCTCAAAGAACATTGTGTGGAAAACAATCTATTTTGCTCAACAACAATTAGGGATTGAAGTGCTCCTTATTGTGCTAGGTTGACAAAGCTCAAAATTTATGGGATAGATATTAACAGTAATCTTCTAGCAGCCACAACTGAAGCCTGATAAATAACTTAATGTGGTATCTGTGGTACTTGTGGAAAAAAGATGTGGTTTTGAGATACATACTATGTATCTGGTCTTTGGAATGCTTACCAGAGTTATGCATTTATTACTAATCTACAAACCACCACAGTTCCCAAATCTCTTAATCAGCTTTTCGGATCTCATAATTTTCTGCCATAATAAAACTTCTCAAGTACTTTTATTTATGTGAATACAGACCTGCTTGGACTTCTTGTATTTTCATCTTTCTGTCATTCTGAAAATGAAGTTTATGACCTCTAATACTTTCTAAACAGAAGTTTCCTCCTGGCTATATTTCACTAGCTTTCAACATCAGGTATAGCTTTTTATAACCAAACAAGCACTTTCAAATATGACAAATTAAAAATATAATCATTTCAGTAGTTTAAGCCTCAGAAAATCTTACCATATATTAATGCTACAGAATGGGAATCTATAGAACATTACTCCAAAACCAGTCAGTCCTCCCATATAAAAAAAAAAACATAAGGTTGCAAAACAGAGTACTAAAAAAGGAAAAAAAAAAGCATTCGATGATAGGTGTCCCAATAACTCAGTCCCTTCTGAGAATATATTGTTACCATCTGTTACCAATCTTCTGATATAATATCACAGAAATTTTTTTCCAAAGTGTCTTTGTTGCACTCATTTCAAAGAATCAGTGGTACCCTGGTCATCAGTCAGACTTCTGTGGTGGAGGCGGCTGCTCTCTGTGTGATTTCTGCAACTTCATTTGTTGCAGGAGGTGTTTGGTGGACACAGCCAGGGACTGAAGTAATAGAAAGGGTGATCTCATAGTTAAGGAATTTGAATGTAAGCCTTGTGAGTTAGATTTTATCTCTGTCTATGTCACAGGATCCTTATTTGATTTTGGGCAAGGCAATAATATCAGTACCTCCAAGCGAGCATCAGCCTTCACACTGCATGTGTTCAGCTAGAGACACCTGAGTGTGGATTTGCAAGAATGTGGGGCTCTCTCAGCTGCAAGTGAAGGCTGTAGAGCTGTGACTGGTATGTTATATTAGTGTAAAAATGCTAAATGCCCCAGAAAACCACATCAGGAACTGTACTAAGTCAAATATTTAAAGTTAGTGGGTGATCTTGACAGTCTTAACTCTGTTTCTGCACCTCCATTCCTTCAATGTAAAATGAGGATGACATCACTTTATAGAAGAGTAATCAAGACACTTATTTGCTCCGGACTGCTCTATCCCAACTTCTGTCTTTCTCACTCTTCTTCAATTCAGTCTCCACCCCCTTTCCTGGATTCTGTCCTCATTTCTGTTTTTCTTTGGAGTTTTCAAGTCTTGTCTCACTCCTCATGCCTCTGATTTTCCAGGATACTGTTTGTTTCTCTTTTACCTTGCTGACTGGTAATAAAAAGAGACCCCTAGGATCCCTTAGCTTCAGCTGCTGTTTCTGACACCCCGAAATCTTTAACAGCCAGAGGCAGCAACTATAGGGAAAGTGTGACTTAGCAGATGATGGAGCACAGCCAGTTTACTGAGGGACATGATGCCGTCCAGAGGGACCTGGACAAGCTCTAGAAGTGGGTCTGTGTGAACCTCATGAGGTTCAACAAGGCCAAGTGCAGGGTCCTGCACCTGGGTCGGGGCAAGCCCTGGTACCAATACAGACTGGTGGGTGAAGGGATTGAGAGCAGCCCTGCCAAGAAGAACTTGGGGGTACTTGGGGATGAAAAGCTGGATATGAGCCGACAACGTGCACTCACAGCCATGAAAGCCACCCGTATCCTGGGCTGCATCAAAAGAAGAGTGGCCAGCAGGTCAAGAGACGTGATTATTCCCCTCTACTCTGCTCTGGTGAGACCCCACCTGGAGTAGTGTGTCCAGCTCTGGAGCCCTCAGCACAGGAAAGACATGGACCTGTTGTAGCAAGTCCAGAGGAGGGCCACAAAGATGATCAGAGGGATGGAGCACCTCTCCTATGAGGGCAGGCTGAGAGAGAGAGCCTGGAGAAGAGAAGCCTGGAGAAGAGAAGGCTCCAGGGAGACCTTACAGCAGCCTTTCAGTACTTAAAGGCGGCCTACAGGAAAGATGGGGACAAACTTTTTAGCAGGGCCTGTTGCAATAGGACAAGGGGTAATGGCTTTAAACTAAAGGAGGGAAGATTTAGGCTAGATATAAGGAAGAAATTTTTTATGATGAGGGTGGTCAAACACTGGAATGGGTTGCCCAGAGAGGTGGTAGATGCCCCACCTCTGGAAATATGCAAGGTCAGGTTGGACGGGGCTCTGAGCAACCTGATCTAGTTGAAGATGTGCCTGCTCGTTGCAGGGGGGTTGGACTAGATGACCTTTAAATGTCCCTTCCAACCCAAACTATTCTATGATTCTATATGGATTTTTCTGTCTTCTAGGAACTAGGTAATCCTAGTAATCCATGGGTAAACAGTGGTTAATTTGATTTACTTTTTATTTTCCCCACGGAGCTTCATCACTTGGCCAGGTTATTCTCTTATATTCACAGGAACCATGAAGACACATTCCAACAGACATAAGGGCAATCCAGACACAAGGACAGCTCCGGTGCCAAGGTCTTTTCCCACAGCATGAAGGCCAGCAGACTGCATGCCAGGAGACTTGACCAGAGGGATGCTTTCAATTGCTCTAGCAAAGAAACAAGGCGTCCATATGTTCAACTGAGCTGCAATGATACTGCCTCTGGGTCCACACTGGAGAGGACTTAAAAAAACTAATCACATTTCCCAGGAGGAATGTAGGTGCTCGAGGAAGCAGAGGCTATGGGTGCTTAGATTGCTCTCTTGAACTTTAGCAAGCTGAATGCTGCTTCACAGCCCAGACTCAATAAAATATTAAAGATCCTACCTGCAATTTAGTCCCTTAAGTTGAAATCCATAAGAATCTAACAGCTTAAATTCTCTGTTGCATCCGGGCCTGGGTTTTTAAGTGCGTTTTTGGATCTCACCTTCAATTTCTGACACAGCAAATGTTGTGGAGGCATTCCCTGAGAAAAGGAGGCAGCAGCAATCTTTCTTTATCACCTCCATATTCCTCCATCTGGGAGTGTATGGTTTTATTGAGGATCACATATATTTGGATTAAAAGTGAACTATAAAACTCTGATACATTTATTGGACACTGCCTAGTCAGAAAAAAATGAGTAAGAGGTATTTGTACCGGATTTGTTTCTAAAATGCAATTAAAAACATCAAATAAGATGAAGTTTTGAAGCAGTGGCTGTTCATTCCATTTAAACTCTCAATCCATGTTTAGTTTACTCTTTCTTGGTTTTTAAATGTATCTTACTACGCCAGCTAATAATATGGCAAGGAAGAAACAGGAAAAAATCTATTATCTCATGAATGTCTGTGATGGTGTTTTGTGCTGATGCAGTTCAGCTGGAGCCCTGTTGCTCTTTGAAACAATTTTGGAAAAGACCAAGTAAGGAAAATTCTCCAGACTATCCTGACAATAAGTCTCAGTTCTTTTCTGGCAAAAGCATCCCTAGAGATGAGTGAGCATTCAATCTCGCCATGCATTTTTTTCTGGACTCTGCTGAAAATGCCTCAGCTTAGTGCCAAATCTGCATGAAGATCTTTCATATTTATCTCAGGAAAAACTAAAAAAGAAAATTGTATTAAGTACACAGATTGGAATAAAATTAATTATGTATGCCACGATACTTGTAAAAGGTAATTTCTTACCAGGGAATTACAGATGGAAGTGATTTCTCTGTTATAAATTAATACCTATTACAATATTATTTACTTTATTGTATGAATGAATACTATAACTGTAATGGCTTTTCCTAACTTTCTGTATTTAAAATGGATAGAATAAAAACACTACTATGTCTCTGTGTCTCACTTCGAATCACACGGCATGCACATAGACAATTATTTGCACAAAATTAATATGTAAGCTTTGGAAGAGAAATCCATGAACTCCATAGATTTTTTGAAATAACGAAAAGACTGTTTATCAGTTTGAAGTTTCAGTACTAAAGGGACATTACATGTAAAATCAATACATGAAACTACTCGTATAACATTCAAACAGCGGAGGGTTGTAAATTTATGGCTATTATGCAATGAATAGGAAAATCATGATATGTGTGTTTGCCTCACTGCTTATGACCACTAGGAATTAGATCACATTTTATGGCACTTAGCAGTAGAATTAGTTTTTCCCCATATGTGAGACTGCTGTTCTGAATGTTATCTGGCTAGTCTCCCTTTTTTCAATATGTATATCCTAACAGATAAGGCTCCATGTAAAAAAAAAAAAAAGAGTTTAATTATAATGCATTTTTTTCTGTGTTTTACTTTCATCTATGCATTCAAATCTATAGATAAAAACCTTACCACAAAGTTTAGTCTGGAAGGCAGAGGTCAGCGTTTCAATCTGACTGAAATTAGCAACCAGAAACACATGCTCTTCATGTGGCTCACTCCCAATGGACTTCAGCGTGTTCATATCTACTCTTCCCACTCCGATGGCAAAAATCAGGATACCCGAGTTACGAGCTTTTGCAGCAATCTCTGCCACTGGATCCTGAGGTCTCCCATCCGTCACTATCATGATAATTCGGGGCACATTCTGCTTCAGAGGTCGAGCTCCTTCTGACTCTGAAAATGCGATGTTCACTGCATACTGAATAGCCAGTCCAGTCATGGTGCCAGTTGCCAGGTGCATCATCCTCTTCACTGCTCTTTCAATATCCTGCTTCCTCCTGAATGTCTTCAGCGAGAACTCATGTTTGACTGTGCTGCCGTACTGAATCAGACCTACTCGGGTGGCATCAGGATTGATGTCCAGAAACTGCAAGATGGTTAAAATAAACTCCTTCACTTTTTCAAAGTCGTAAGGACGTACACTGCGAGAGCTGTCAATGATGAAGACAAGGTCCAGACGTTTGTTGTTGCAAGTATTTTCTGGAAGGCAAAATGCAAACAAAAATAGTTTACAAGAATTTCAAAATGCAAATTGGTTCAGGTTGACCTGATGTCTCAAACATGCTGTCTAAACAAACACCCTGAGAAATGCTGGGAAAATACAGGAAAAATAGATGCCAGAACAGAGGCTACTTGAGCAACATAATTTTGGGCTCCAGTAAATAACAAAAGCTGCCTGTTATACATGATCAGTACTTTTTTCTTCTCTGATATCAGTGCCCAGAATGGCTACCAGTGGAACTGGTAGATACTTGTGCTGTACCCTGTTTTGTCATTGTTGAGATTTTGACCTCATCCCCCACGCAGGATGGAAACCCCCTCTGAATTACATAGTTACTATTTGAGAGGGTTGCACTGTGATGCTTTTTGTGGCAGTGTCTGAGAATTTAGAAATCTAACACACTGATGAGGCAGTGTGGTATCAGTCCTCCATTTCAAACATGGAAAACAGAACACAAAGAAATTCAGGTTGAAAGCATCTGTTAATTGCAGTGACCAATATGAGACGTGAAGGGACTGATTTTTCAGGGAACTTGGCATTAAGCAGCACTTCGCATGTACAAAGTACAGCTCTCAATGACGTCAACTGCAGCTGTGAGTGCTCAGCACTTCTGCAAATCAAACCCCATGATTTCAAACACATAATTAATGGCCATCTGGGAAAAGTCTCATCTATTGGACTAGCTCAGCATCATACAGAAATTCTGTGGCTGCATGAAAGAGAAAATCCTCTTGTCTACAGTGGCACTCGACTTGGCCAAAAGACCACTCATACACTTCCTGAAATCTTCTGTTTCAGCCATCAACAGTCTTTTTTCCAAAAGCCACTGAAGAAGAAATACCACAGGCTATGCCTATATCTGACAATTGCACAGGCAGGGCCAAGCTATCATGGATAACAGCAGAAGTGAAGGCTGGTTGCCTTCTGGGCATGCTACCGGCTTTCTAGGACTCTGGGTATACATCCTCTGGCTTCTGCTCAGCATCCTTCTTTTTTGAAAGACTATGAGGCACATGCATGAGTTGCATGATGAGAAGGGATAGGGACTGACCATGCACAGAAAGCCAGCACATGGCAGGCTTAAGGTGAGCAGGTGGAGGTGAGCCACGAGCATTGCCACAGAAGGCAGCATATGGCAAAAGATTAAAAGGACTTTAAATCACTTCATGGGATGCTGGTGAAAAGAAATCAACTGAGGTTCAATATTTACATTTAAGATCCCTTCAGATTAGGAAATCCCTGAGCCACAAAAGCATGGAAGCTGGGGGAATACCTGCAGATAGTATTGTCTTGTTCTGAAACTTTTCTGCATGCATCCACTTTTGTCTGCTGTCAGAGGCAGGACACTGGGTTAGATAGACCTAGGGCTTCAACCAGTGTGTCTGCTCACGTTCTTAAATTCCTGTGGCTATGAATAAAACTGTGAGGTAGCAAGTTGCCCATTTGTCTGCCTGGCTTGAAAGATTAAAGGTGGCAAAAATGCTCATCAAACTGCAGCAGCATCCTCATCTTACTAAGCTGAGATAGCCCCAACCAGTAATCTCCCTTATTGCCCAACCCAATTCAATTCCCCCTGCACGCTCATCCATCCTGTGCACTGAGGCAAATGCTCGGTGGAAAAGAAGTATCTGACTGTATAATTAAAGGTCATGTCATACTGCACAAGTACAAGTGGGCCAATCAAATACTCAATTGGAAAAACATCTGTCTGTAGCCAAGCCTTTACATGAGTTCACTTGTGACTTCTGATGAATGCAAACCATGTGCTTCTGCCAAGGCAAGGGGTGAGAAAGATGCCTGTTTTCACTTATTAACTCAGAGGCCTCTTTCATAGATTACCAAGAACATTTGTGGGCATAGAATAAAAATGCTCTTTGATGACAATAAAAATGACTGCCTGGATTTATTCATGTGCAGTCTACAGTCTGGCTTTATTCATAAGCATAGGAATATGCTCGAGTTGCTTATTCTTTCAAAATCAGAGGATGCTGAATGCAAGCCAAATTGTGCAGAAACAAAATTCCAGTTCTAATGGGATACAGATACCCTGACATATTAACTATTTTCTATCTTATTATCTTAATGACATATCTAATTATTAATATTTTTACTAATATAACATGAAATATTCCAGCACGGTTGTAACACAAAGATAATGCTACGATATGATTTGGGGGAGCAGAGCAAGGGGAGAGAAAGATAACTACAGAAAAAAGGTTAAGAATAGTCAGTATACATAAGAGGAAGGACAGAGGAGGGAGAAGGGTAAAGTGACTGCTATTTTATTTCCCTTAAAACAAGCCAAAACTAGAGCCATGATGTTGAATCCTTTTAATTTGAATATAAAGATTTGGATCCCAGTCTGAAGAGACTCAGTTACGTATTTTGAATTCAGGCATGAATCTTGGTGGGAAAAAACCTGGACGGCATTAGTGGATAGTACTACCAGAAACACTCCCCACTGTGCTAAATTACTTAAGAAAAATCTATCTGTCTGAATGCAATACGGCATATTTCAAAGGTACTTTCACTAGCAAAATTCTATCTATAGAAATACCAAACCTTTCCAAATGAAAATGTATTTATAAATAGCCTTCTGACTTGGTGGGGTTTTTTAATAACCTTGTAATTATTAATGTCGATTTAGCTAAGATAGGCTCAATGAAAAATAAAGTGTAACTCTTCTAATAAGCAAAACTCCAGCTGGGTGGTATTTTGAGGAGTGGCAATCAGTAATGACTAACAGATCTGAATACTCGTTCCCTCAGATAAATTTTCAGCAATACCTTTTCAGCAGTTAAATGCTTTTGCACTTGCCCTGTAAACTATAACATCTTCCTCCCACCAGCTCTCACATTTAAACACAGAACTTTCTCACAACTTTGGCAATCATCCTCGTACCCAAAAGTAATTCCCCTCCACTATTCTTATGAAAAGTGACATACTCATTGAAAAGAGCTACTCATCCAGAAACCTGTTTCTAAGTCAGCAGAGGTTTTGTATTGCCAACACAAAAGTTAAAAAAAAAAACTTCCATGTGAGTTGTATTATCCAAAGGGAAGGCATGGACAGGAGAGGCAAGACAAGGACAGACAAGGTAAGGGAAGGAAAAGAAGGAAAGATCGGACACAAGAGGGAAATTTTTCACAATAAGAACAATCAGCCATTGGTATAATCTCCCAGGGAAGTGGTGGATTCCCCAACATGGGACACTTTTAAGATTCAGCTTGACAGGGTGCTGGGCCATCTTGTCTAGATCGTGCTTTTGCTAAGAAAGATTGAACCAGACGGTCCTTGAGGTCCCTTCCAACTTGGTATTCTATGATTCTATGAAGATCAAGTCAATAGTAAATATATTCTCTTCCTCCACTCAATATCCAGTTTGTCTGTAAATCACAATTACGGTGATGCCACCTGCACAAAATTAACAATGAAGGGAAATTTCAGTTCTCCCTGGGAAAATCCAGCTGGGATCCAATTACCTAGCTACACAAAATAGATCTTAAAAGAATATTTCATGTTGAGCAACCTAATTTCCTCTAAAGCTGAAAATGCTATTATTTTCTCTGATCCCTGCAGGTTTCCCTCTGCTTCTTTCTCAAAGCAAATTATGGTCAGTCCTGAACCTCTACTTTGGCTTTGACAAAGCTCACACTGCTTTGACTTAGCTCACCCACCCAGAGTCTCTGTCTGAGAGTGTGTTTGTACCCTTCTCAGCTTATTTTTAACTAACGCTACATTGCCTTAATATAACTAAAGCAGCGCCAGGGAGTTTTCCTGGGCATTGGAATTGACTCTGCTGGGCTGTTAAATCATTAGAACAGTTCCTGGTATTGTTTGATCTAGGACAATTAACATTTTCTCAAACAATCCTCAGGCACGATATAAGAAGTATCGTGAGCCAGGGACCCATCCTAATAAGCAATGTGGATGCACCCACTCTGTGAGCTCAGGGTATGTAGTAGTACAGAACCAGGCTGTTTTATACCACTGGTTTCAGTGCCAGAGAGCAGCCTAAGATACAAGCTAAGCTCAGAGATCAGCTGGCCTGCGTCCACAGTATTAATCTCACCTTCCCACTAAAACAGAGTGGCTGTATGCAAACTACCTAGCGGGAATAATCCCTCTCCCCCTGTAGCCTCTGAACCACGCGTGGAGATTGCCTGGGGAGTGCTAATCACTCTGGGCCAGAGACAGCTCCAGCAATTTAACAGCAACAATAATGGTTGAGTCCCAGTGGCTGAGAATGGCCCCTGGCACTGTTTAATTTCCTCAGACAGTTCCATTTTGGGATATTCAAACCGAACACAAAGGACCCAAGTTTTAGATGGCGATTTTTTCAAAAGTTTTTGCAAGCCAGCTCCCTTGAAAAGACTGATTGCTTAAAAATGAGTTCTTTGTTTTCTATTGTTGTCCTACATCTTTATGACTCAATACTTTTTTTTTTTAATCTGGGTATTATTTATTTGGTTATGTAGAATGGATAAACGTTGAAGGCGGCTATTGCTGTATGCAAAGCAAAAAAGAGGTTAGCACAATTTGGAAAATACTACAGCAAAGTTAAGACATTGAAAAAGTAATTTGTAACAAGTAAATATTAGTTCCATGAAGATTTTTGTTACAGACTAGGACAACTGGAGCAAAAACGAAGGATGAGATCAGTTAAGAAAAAATGAGATCATAGAAAAACTACTGCCTCAGCAGGCAACACGTTAATGGCAATTTTAAGACTCAATATATTGTGTTTCTTAGTTCACTACACAGTAATGTACACACAAAAAATTACATGTCCTGTGACACTGCCAGCAATAAGACCAGGTTTATTTTTAGATTTTATCTTTGAGTAACAGAACAAAAGTCTTCACTCAGAATTAAATAAAAGATGAGAAAACTATTCTCCCAGCTAGCACATTATAAAACTTCTTCCTAAATTTCTCTTCTTTGTTTGCCATTTTATTATTTCATTTTCCCTTTAGCC